TTACGAAACATCTGGCTTGAAATTTTTCAGTTCAAGGAACAGAAAACATTTTGATGATTTTACGTATTTTAAAGTGTAAAGCGTTAGAAATTTATAATTGCAAATGCCCACCGGGCACAATCGCTTAACTACTCTGTGGTTACAAAAAAAACAGATAAGCTTTTTACTTAATACCGCACAACTGTGCTGTATACGAATCAGAACTTTATTCTTCTAAAAAAAAAATCCTTTTTTGAAAACGAGTTTCGAAAAAAGTGAAAATTGCACGAATATTAAACATCGATACACCTTAGCAGGCGTTTGCTGATTATGGCAATGAAAATGACCGAATCGACGATAGCAAGAATTGTGCCAAGAGTAATATATCCATATGTTCCGAAATAATTGCTACTCCACTCAAGCCAAGTTATTGGAGTAAGTGTTTCTTCTTCCTGCTCGAAAAACCATGCAAGGATACCGGAAGGTTTTATAAATTCTGTCATTCTCGCTTAGGAAAGGAAATAAGCCAACCTTAAACAAATGTTTAGTATAAATTTGAGCTTTCAAGTGCAAAATGAGAGGAAGCAAATAAATACAAAGTATCATGTAACAATAATGTAACAATAATAAGTAAATATGTATATTGGAAATAATTTTTTTTATCACTCGAATGTTATAGGGAAATCACCATGGACGCCGAAAATGCAATATCCAGTGTGCAAAGCGTGCTGCTCGTCTTGTCAAAAATCAGTGGAAGTTAGCGTTAACAAGCTGTACATGGGAGGAAGTGTTGGGCCCAGTATATCAACAGATTCTTGTTTAAGCAAAAATACAAAACAGTTGCAGCACTATACGTCGTCCCCACATTCTGTGACGACCTCAATATCGCAACGCACCAATCAGTACACCAAACACATCAAAACACTGCAGCTTTCGACTCCTCTGCGCTGCGGCTGCGACTTTTTCCCATAACGAATCCTGTGAAACACTCATGAAGCGACGTCGTTCCATCACTGTCTTATATTTGCAGGTCATGTGTATATGCTTTCTCGCTTGATCATACAGTACAGCTACGATTAAAACAGAAGTACATAATCATTCTAACATCTCCCAAGAGAGCTTAACATACACGGAAAAGGCAATGAATAATAACTAAAGGTAAGCAGCCTAGAACTGAACGGCTAAATTAAGCTGCACCTGATGTGTAGGAATATTTCAGTAACTTCAATAACACGCAATATCCGCAATGATTGCTCGTCCTGTGTTATTAACTTACAGCGTTGCATTTGAGGGAACTGCAGCTTAGAGAAGGAGTAGGAAAAATGGATTTGGAGTCAATGAAGTTTTCCAAGAAAGCACATTTAAATCTACCATAATAATTTTAGATGATTTTTGCGTCAATTACATGTGAAATACTAGAATTTGAATGTTTCAATATTATTTGAAACCTCATGAAATAATAAAGTAGGTGATGACACACTGACACGTGCAAAAAGAAATATCTGAATGCAGTCTGTATTTCATCTTTTAGTTTTATCATCGAACTTATCAATATTCTCAAACGACGGTGCTTTTATTAATATATTGAATGTGTTTGACCTTCATTTGCTAGATTAATAAGCGTTCTGTAGCGAATCTTTAACTTTAGCATTGGATCTAAAAGAAAATAAAACTTGATTCTAACTTCCTGGTGGGTAAAGTAATTCATCTTGGCTTAGGACAGCGTTCAGGATGAGGTAGCAATGTTCAATACACACCAGTAACATCTCAAAACGGCAAAAACTTTACGAAAATGCTTCTGTAAAGATCTATTGAACTGAAGGTCTCTCTGGAGACGAAGCTAGCGCTAACAATGCTAGCAATCTGACTAACAAAGGATGCGGTACTAGTCAAAAAACAACTGGAATGAAAAGCGTCAGCTGCAGAATTATAGTACTGTGAGCCGAGGTGGCTGAAGTAGCAAAGCAAGTAACTGATACCAGTAGTGCCTTCATGCAAATACTCTAGTTGTGCAATGTTGTGCAATTTATAAAAAGAACTGTGGACATAATTCTGTAAAAAACAAAGTTGATTAAAATCTATGTTCTTAAATTTGACGTATTTTACGGTTGAAGCAAAAGCTTCCGGGAAACAGGAAATGTAGGATTTAATTTGCACGCATTGTATTGTTTTCTATAAAGCATGAGCTTCAAGCCTCTTGAAAGAATTAATAAAACAAGATTGTTTGCACCTCTGTGCACCCGGAAAAAATAAACTGCACTCATAACGACAGAAGGTGGGATGTGGAGAACAGGAAAGGTTTTTGTGCGTGACAGCATGAAGTTCACCAAAAGAGAAAAGCCAGGCAAAATTTCTATGGCAGGTTGTTATTGTTGCAAGCGAAGCAAATGACAGAAAGAGTTATTTAACAGAGTAGTCGAAAATACTGAGTTTTTTTTTCTTTTTTTTTTTTTTTGTAAACTGCGTGAGCACTACTTTTCTTTTACCCACTAATCCCTAAAGAAATTTGCTCATCGAAAATAAAACAAACGCAAGGTACTAATTAAAGATATGCGGCTGGGGGCCAAAGAGTTCAGGATTTTCGTTCAACGTATAAGGCAGATACCAGCACCATGAAAAATACCACGATGAGCTGGGCTATCAATACTGGTATCCAATGATAGTAATGTTACTGGGGCGCTTCAACATGCTGACTGGATTTGTTTCAGACCTTTCGATCCTGAGCTGCATTTCTCCATCTCTTACTCGGCGAGTGTGCGCCACTTCTCTATTATTATTATTATTGTTATTATTATCATTGTTATTATTATTATTATTATTATTATTATTGTTATTATTATTATTATTATTATTATTATTATT